AACTACCGTGGGCTTTTGGGTGCTTGTCTTTTACCATAGCACAAATCTAAACTCGGTGCTTAAATTGCACAACCTTCCCCACTGTCTGCTTGGCTAGATAAACATCTTAGGAGAAACCATTCACTCTGCTGATTCTTAGAGTGGCCCTGGGAACAGTCAGCTGAGGCGCTGTACTGGGGAGTAGGTTCTTGTCCCGGCCTTGAGGTTCTCTCTGCCTCCATTTTGCAAAGTTGTAGCAGAGACAGAAATTAGTCAAGTGCCAAGGGAACCCAAAGGAACGCATTCCATGGGTGAGTCTTCCTTTCCACCCTATGCCACCTCATGTTGCTGACACGACCACCAGCAATTCTTGTCCTTGCATGCCTACCCTGGGTCTCTCTAAGAGCCAGCTAATGGCTCTCTTCCAGAGCCGCACTACCGCTTTCCTCAGTCTCAGGAGCCCTAGAAGCCCAGTAGCTGCCGCCCTGTCCCTCCCTCGCCCCTCTCTTCACCCTGAAACGACCTTGACACCATCTCTGGAGCTCAATTCTGGGTCTTGTCCTGTGGCCGATGTTCCAGCCACTGTACGTTGTCATCACTGTCAGAATCTACCCCCCTCCTTGCTAGTTACATAAGAGGCCACATAAAGGTCTGCTCCCCAGCACAAGCTTTTATTAAGCAGAGACGGCGCCAGGGGCCAAGTGGGCAACAGGTCCATCCTGGAACCGTGTCCCGGTGGGGGGACGGGGGTGGGGCGGTGGCCATCGTCTCTGGGCCTGGGCTCCTACAAGGCCTCTGCTCTCTGCGTGTGTTTGTAGCCTGAAATACCGGAGGGCGATGTGTTGTGCTTTCAGCCCGAAGGGGCAAAGGAGAAGCAGCCCTTTCAAAATAAGAATTCCCCTGCTGTTTGTTTCATTTTGGAACACAATAAGAACAGACCGAGGACATGACTCTTGGCTGTCAACGCTTCCTACGCTGCTTCCACAGAACATGCCCTGTGCCAGAAAGAAAGGGGAAGAAACGTTGCTCAAGTGAAACAAGGCTTAATGAGTAGTCACAATAACTGTTTAGCTTGGATATCAGGCCTTGGGTAAATAGATGATTGCCTGAGACCCCGGGCCAGGAAAAGCAGTCCAGTTGAGACACGACTTGTTCTGTTCTTCGGACAGCAGCCCCGAGGCCTCACCTCCGCCGGGGACGGCTGTTGTGAGTGAATTATTTCTTTCTGCCTACCAGCATGTTGAAGCAATTTAGGATGGAAAGGAAGGGCCTCATCAAAGCAGAGGAAGAGAGAGAGAGCCATCTGGAGTATCTGCTCGGCACGTTAGAGACGTCCTACGACGGGAGAACCTTCCTTGAATGAGCATCTTGTGTTTGCTCTTAGGGAACTTTCCGTGGTGGAGATGTTCTCATAGGTGTAGTCAGCCCTCACGACACATAGTAATGTAGGGTTCCTAACTGGATTTAACCTTTTCTTAGGACAGTAATCTGCTATGCCAGACTCCAGTATCCAGTGCTGCTGTAACAGAAAAGCCAGCAGGTGGTTTCCACAAAGAGATTTTTTTTTTCAGTTGTATAGATTAGTACTGAATGTTTATTTGTTAGTTTGTTGTTATTAAATCATTTTATTGGGGGCTCATACAACTCTTATCACAATCCACACATACATCCATTGTGTCGATCACATTTGTACATTTGTTGCCATCATCATTCGCGGAACATTTGCTTCCTACTTGAGCCCCTGGTATCCGCTCCTCATTTTTCCCCTCCCTCCCCTCTACCCCCTCCCCCATGAACCCTTGATAATTTATAAATGTTTATTATTTTGTCAAGTCTTACACTGTCCGACATCTCCCCTCACCCAGTTCTTCACCGTCCGTCCCCCAGGGAGGAGGTTATATGTAGATCCTTGTAATTGGTTACCCCTTCCCATCCCACCTTCCCTGCACCCTCCTGGCATCGCCATTGTCACCACTGGTCCTGAAGGGATCATCTGTCCTGGATTCCCTGTGTTTCCAGTTCCTAGCTGTACCAGTGTACATCCTCTGGTCTAGCCAGATTTGTAAGGTAAAATTGGGATCATGATAGTAGGCGAGGAGGAAGAATTTAAAAACTAGAGGAAAGTTGTATGTTTCATCATTTATCTTACTGTTTAGGAAGCTAGAAGTCTGAATTCAGGGTCCCGGGCTATAAGGGAAAGCTTTCTCTCTTCCTCTTCTCTTTCAGCACCTGCTTCTGGGAGATTTTCACATGCATCAGCATCTGTCTCACCACAACCACCTGCACCCCCATCTCTGCTCCTTGTTGTTTACGTGTTTAATCACTTTCACATCTCAAGAAAAGATGGATTGAAAGGACACCCTACACTAATCCTGCCTCATTATCATAAAAAAAAACCATTCCCAAATGGGCTTAAAGGCGGGGCACAAAGTTAGGATCTACACTTACTTTTGGAGGGGGATAGAATCAATTCCACAGCAATGCCTGAGGGTCATCATTCTTGTCTGAGTAATCAGTTTCTAAGACCAGAGGAATAGACTGTGTAAGAAGGGGTGCTGCCCTGTCATAGTTGGGTTGCTAACCAAAGGCAGGCAGTTCAAGTCCACCAGCCAGTCTGTAGGAGAAAGAAGAGGCTGGCTGCTCCTCCAAGGAAACCCTATACTATACTATAACCTATACTATAGTATAGTATAACTATAGTATAGTATAAACCCTATACTATAACCCTAAGTCATTGTGAATTAGAATGGACTCCATGCTGTGGGGATGCATTAGTAACAAGTCTTAGTAACAAACAAAAAATGAGTAACAAATGTGGCTGTGAAGTTTATGATTGTTCCTATTGATTTGCTTTGTTATGTGTGTTTAGGAATCTTGGCTATCAACTTGCTTTGTTGTTATTTTGTTGTTTGTTTGTTTTTATTTTCCCCCAAATTGGGTCACACCATGAGAATTCCGCTTGATTGAGAATTTGAGTAAATTGGTTTCTAGATCAACTCAGTTTTGCCTAATAGGTTTTTATGTTGTTTGTTTAAGATGAACTTGTCACTAAAGACTCCAAATCCATTTCAGTTTTACTTTTTCGTTTTTAGTTTTTTAAGCCACTCTGACCACTATTTAGGATTGAGGGATGAGGAATCCGGAGGGTTTTTGTTTTGTTTTGGAGGGAATAAGAGGGTGTTAAAGAAACATACACAGCCCCTCTCAAGAACTGAGATCAACACTATATTACATTCATGGGCAGTTCCCATCTCTTCCCACTTAGTCTATAAATTGTTTCTCTTTTAGTCTATAAATTGTTACATTCTTTAATATCAATATGGCAAATCAATATCAAAATACAGGAGGTATTCAATAGGTTACCAATATAAAATTCAAAGCTTTGAATTTTTGAGTGAGGAAGGGAGAGAGAAGATGGTTCTTGTTTTACCTCTTTGTCTGAGGCGGCCAATGGCACCTCCAGGATGTCAAAAACAAGGTTTAGAAACTGGATCTATGATTCTTCTATTTAAAAGCTTCCCTGATTTAGTTATTGTTGAAATATATTAGGTCTAGCATATGTTTGTCTCTTCTCAATTCCATATTAAATGTAATACTTGCTGAATTTGGTCTTTGTACCTTCCCTTGTTGACAAAGACATTCACTTGGAGTCTACTAAATCTCAAAGAGGCCAACACAAAGGACCATCAAGAAACACAAAACAAACAAACTTAGTTTGCTCATCCTTGCTCTGCAGGAGTTTGAAATGAAAGAAAAGCAACAAAAATTGCCAAGTATTGAGGGTTGTTTCAGACGCTCCTACACTGACTCTTCAAAATGGGGCTTAGCTTCCTTTTATAAATGAGACAACTGAGGTTCTGGGAAGTAAGTGTCCCAAGATTGCACGGGTAGCAATTGTCTGTGTCCAGTTTACACACACACACATGCAACCAAGCCAGGTACTGTTGAGTCAATTCTTTGTTGTGAGTGTCAATCTGTTTCAATGTAGAACTGCGCTCCATAGGGTTTTCAATGTTTGTGATATTTAGGAAGTATATTACCAGACTTGACTTTCTAGTGTGCCTCTGGGTGGATTTGAACCACTGACATTTCTGTTAGTAGGTGAGCTTTTATCCATTTGTACCACCCAAGGTCCTTTCAGATTTATGCACAGTCCACCTGACCCAAAATCCAGATTCTTCAGACTCCATTGTGTTACCTCCCTGGCTAAGGAGGCAGAACAGAGACTTTAAATGAAACCAACAAGTCAATACATCATAGAAACTCTACAGACAGTTCCATGTAAAAGGATGGCTAAGTGTGTGAAGGACCTGGAACTGGGTGGTCTTTATCTGGGGAAGAGAGAGCCACATTATAACCTCGGGGATACGGAAAGTAAATGTTCATCGGAAAGTAGCTATCCTGGAACCAAGAGAAATAACAATGTAGGTGATTAACTTTTACTGAGAAGCCTAAGAGCTATGAGGAGCCCTGCTGGTTCAATGGTTGAAGCACTGGGCTACTAACAAAAAGATCTGCCATTTGAACTCAGCAGCCACTCTGTGGGAGGAAGAAACCTAGCTATCTGCTCCCGTAAAGATGTCCCACCTAGCAAGCCCGGTGGGGCAGTGGAGTCTGCCATGCAGGGCCACGGGGAGTTGGGCTTGACTCCACAGGACACGGCAAAGAGCTGCAGGCCCACTCGATCCTTGTCTTTCCAGATTAAGAAGCTCCTCCATCGGTCGACCAGGGAAAGCGTAAGAAAACTATGGAAACTGTGTAAATTGCAAAAATTTCCACACATCCGATTTGCAAGCGAGTAGGAGCAGAGTTCCACTTCATTTGTTCATGACACCCAGCATTCACGAAATGTCCCTTCCCACTCAAAGTACTCTTAAGCAAGGTGAATGGAAGCCATGTTTCTCCGGGTATCTGGTGTTGGAACCATTAACCTAACTGGTTAAGAGGATTTACAGAAGAGAAGTGACTACGTGCTTGTCACTGTTTGCAAACAACATTTGTTTGGATTTTCTGTCTTCTAGGAGATGTACGACTAAGGGGTCAGACAGGGGTTCCTGCTGAACGCCGCGGTTCCTACCCATTCATTGACTTCCGCCTACTTAACAGTGAGTAATCAAGTGTACCTGGAAAGAAGCTTACAAAAAGAAACGAAAGAAATCCTATTTCCCTCTGCACGTCAATACCCTCAGAGGTCCACCTTCCTTCCTAGCTCGCTCGCTCTCCTCCCACTGGGCCCTCACTCACCCTGTGTCTCTCAAGCTCCTGTCAGGGAAATCATGTTGCCCTGCCCACCCTCTGACAGCTTGACAGAGTCAAAGAGGGTCATGCAAATGTTTAAAATTGTCAAGCTCTATAGGGAAAGCCATTCCTTTCTTTATATACCACCTTTTCTCACCTCCAGTCTGGACTAGCCTAGAGGAGATTCTATTTTATTTTCAAATCCCCTGGGAAAACCTATCCCCTGTCCTGGGCCTTAGCAGCCCCATCCATTATCTGATTCTCACCTCTCGGGTTCATCAGAACCCCGGAGGTCTGCTCTTGAATTCCTAGGACAATATTCCTGCAGGATGACTGTCTCAGAAATTCATAGTTCCAGCCTTTCCCTGTGTTTTCACCATGTACACGGGACTTCAAAAAGCTCACAGAAAAATGAAAATAAAAGATAATGACATTTTCCCGATGTGTTTTTTCAAATACATACAATATATATACTTATGCTACAAAGTATATGTGTATATATATGT